TTAACTGCTGTCCTCTCTTTCCTAATTTTGATATACATCATCATATAAAAAGCATACAAACCATTTAATATCATATAAAACAAATGAATAAAATAGGTGATCAGAAGAAAAATAACAGGGGCTGGAGAGGTGGCTCAGAAGTTAAGAGCACAGTTTGCTCTTGCAGAGGACCCAAGTTCTGTTCTCAGCACCGTCAAAATGGTTCACAACCATCCATAACTCCAGTTCCAGGGGATCCATTGCTGCCTTTTTCTGACCTCCATGGGCATATATACAGGAAAAACATTCATACATACAAAATAAATCTTAAACATTTATTAAAAGGTCACATCCTAAAAGCAACTTTGCAATATGCAGAGCACAATAATAGCTTAAAAATATATGGAGAAAGGTTTTGTGCATTTGTATTATTTATATCTAAAGAGCTACAATCATTTCCCTCTATAAAAATTGAGAATTGATAGTACATGCCTGCTATCCCAACACTCATGACAGAAGGTAAGAAAATCTCGAGTTTGAGTACAATCCGGTGTGCATATAATGAGACTCTAGCGCTAGAAAAAGATATTGTGGAGGTAATGACAAGGATCAGGAGTTCAAAGCCAGTCTTTGCATAGGTTATATCAAACCCTCAAAACAAGAAAAATTAGCAAGCTATGTTAATGCAAGTAAATTATTTTCATTGCACTTAATGTAGTTTTATATTTGAGACTGAAAAAATCAGCACAGAGCTATTAATATTTTTGTCAATTAATGATTGTGAAATATAATCAAATGAACTAAACAAATGTCTGATCAAAAAGTTCTACTTTTAATGATAAGCTATTTAATGGTTATTGAATGATACATTGAAGTAAAAGTGATTAGTAGATCTTGCTTATATTTATAAATGATTTCCTCTTCTATGAATTCCACTGTGTCAATACAGGAGTGAGTGGCTGAAGACCACAGTGGGGATGTTATCATAGTCTATAAAGTCAAGTTTTCAGCCAATAGCTACTGCAGCTGAATTAAGGAAAGCTTCCTTACATATGTTCCCAACTGCATTGGTGCCTTTGATGTTAATATTCAGAATTTATCTACCATGATATGACCTTTTTCATCAGGTTGAATCTCTAGTTGGAATTTGGTTTCTGCATGATGGCCAGAGCAGTCAGTCAACATGTAGAATCACAATAGAGCTGCAGTAACTGTGAAGAGTTCTTGGTCTATGAGTAATTTAGCAATCTACATGAGCATTCACTGGCACTTCAGTGCAGGTGAAACTGATTAGTGAGTCAGAATTCTTAAGTAACTTTAGGTTTCTATTATCTTCATAATCCTCTCTTTCTGAACTTGTTTCTCTTTTTTGTACATCTATGAAAAAGAAATTGTCTTCCTCATTTTTATTTGTTTGTTTGGGAACTACCTGTCCTCTCTTAGCACAGTATTAATATATACTTGTTATTTTAACTAACACTTGGACAAAAGTGACTTTTTCTAATAATCATTTTCATGATTATTTAAAAATCAGGTGGTGGATGTTAGTATAACCGAATTAGAGGTGTATCTGGGTAAAATTTAAGGAGAAATGCATCTCATCGGAGAATTTATTAGAAATAAATACTCATTTGGAGTTTCTTTTATTTTCTAAAGCCAAAGATGTAAGGAATAAGAATGTGTTGCCTTCTGTTCCATCATGAGACACTCATTTGAAGGCTGTATTCAGTAGACTCATTTTTTTTTCTGTTGCTATTATTGACACAACCAAAAGAGTTTTCATTGGTGAAATGTTTTGGTAAAGTAAGTTATCTTAGCTTTATTGATGAATAAACTTAACATGCCATCCAATTTATCTGTGTTTTAAGTGTACAATGCCATAGTGGGTAGCATATTTACACATTTGTGAAATCATCAACATTATCCACATTTTATAATTTTTCTGTCTCCCCACAATGGAGCTTTATATCATTTACAGTTCTAGTCACCATCCTTACCCCAATCTACTTCATGCTTCTATAGATTTATCTATTTTAGACAGTTCTTGTAGATGAGATCATATGATGATTCTCCTCCCTTGCCTTTGAATGTTGTGATTATGGTAGTATACAATGATAGCAAACCTGGTTTTTTACTTGCTCTTTTTAATTACATGTATCAGTGATTTGTTCCTTTTAATTACCAAGTAGTCTGTAGTATGAATTTGCCACAGATATTTTTATTTATTTGTTGAAAAACATCTCAGTTGTTTCCAATTTTAAGCTATTATGAGTAAAACTGCCATAAATACTTGTGTGAACATAAGTTTTCATTTATCTGGGATAAGAGCCCAGGAGTATAATTGCTGAATTTTTTGATACTTGAATGCTTAATTTTTCAAGAAATGACCAAATTATTTTCTAGAGTAGCTGTATTGTTTGAGTCCTACTAGCAAAATATGAATTGTAGTTTCTCTAGCATTTCATATTTTCACTATATTTTTAAAATTCCAGCCATTCTAATAAATGTATAAAGACATCTTACTATAGTTTTGACTTACAGTTCTGTAATAGCTAGTGGTCTTAAACATCTTTTTATATGCTTACTTGTCATTTGCCTTTTTGGCAAAGTGTTCATCTTATAATTGAGTCAGTTAGTTCCCTACTGTTGAGTTTGATGACTTCTTTAAATATTTTAAATATCTATCTACTGTCAGATATACATTTTGTAATAAGTATTTAAATGTTACATACATACAATGTGTGTTTTGACTATCCTGTTCTATAGCTTGGTTTACTTCTGGTTTTTATTTCTTTTGTTTATTTTGTTCTTGAGACATGGTTTCACTGGCTTGCTCACAGTAAAAGCTTTTCATTTTGTTGAAAACAAATTTTCCTTTGGTAAATCATGTTTTGAAATTTCAAGAATTCTGAATCTTTGGATCCTCTGCTTAGTCCTATAATTTTGATATTTTCTCCTATGCTTCTCTTTTTAAAAATTATTAGCAGATATTAATTGGACAAAGTCATGAGTTTCATGACATTTTCATTTGAGTATATCATATATTTTGACCATATTCACCCCCACTGCCCTCTTCTGTCCTTCATTCTTTTTTCTGTTATTCTTCCTCTTCCAAATAGATCTTATTTTACTTTCATGTTACACACAGATGTTTACGTGTATGTGCATGTGTGTACACACACAACATACATTCTACATATGAGACAAAACACATTATTTGTCTTTCTGATCTGGCTTATTTCACTTAATATTTCTTTTGTTTAATATACATAGTTTATTAAACTGTAGGTCATTTGGGGGAATCTCATGACTGAATGTGGGAATCATGAAAAGTTTGGAAATAATAAGTTTCTGAACATGTAATGACAAAGGATTCAAAATGAAATGCATAATATGATTTTTCTGGTTGTACACTACTGTGTGTTACAGCACATAATTTCACAGCTGCCTTGGTTCTGAATATACAACATGTGCACTTTGCATTGCTTTTGCTCTCATACCATGCAATACCAGTTAACTCTTCCTGAAGCTTGGTTTAGATGTCATACATTGCAGTGCTGCTGTTAAACAGAGTTTTCTGTTCCCACAAGCGTTTAGTCCCAAATAAACACACGGAGGCGTATATTAATTATGAACTGTTTGGCCTATGAATCAGACTTCTTGTTGGCCAGCTCTTTCTTAATTATTAACCCATTTCTATTAATCTGTGTATCTTTGTGTGGTCTTGGCTTACCAGAGAATGCTCAGGCATCCTATCTTCCTGGTAGCTACATGGCCTCTCCCCTTTGTCTTTCTTTTCCCTGCTTCTTTGTTCAGAATTTCTGCCTAGCTAAATCTTGCCTGCCCGTTGGCTGAAACAGCTTTATTCATCATCCAATAAAAGCAACACGTATTTGCAGCACACAGAAGGACCTCCCACATCACTCCTCAGAAAGGGGTAAGGCCTACCATGGAGGATCAACAAAGCCTAGCACATTCAGTTTGAGGCAGAACCAAGCCCCCACCTCTACCCCTGTGTCAAGGCTGAGCAAGGCATCCCTCCATATGGAATGGGCTTCAAAAACCTAGCTCATTCACTAGGGATAGATCTTGGTCCCACTGCCAGGGGTCCCACAAACAGACCAGGGTACAAAACTATTGCCCACATGCGGAGAGGACCCGATTCGGTCCCATGCAGGCTCCCCAGGTGTCAGTGTAGAGTTCATGAGTTCCAACAAGTTCAGCAATGCTATTTGTTTACTTTTATCAAAATAGATTGGTCATATTTGTGTGGAAGTTGTAAAAATAAGAAGGTATCAGTCTAATAACAGGAATATGTTAGGTTTTATAGCAAAAGAAAACTAAGGTTACTAAGCAGTGGTTTTAAAATAGAGACGTTGTCTTTAATTATTTGGTTGGGTTGAACGTAATTACGGGGGTCTTTGAAAGTGAATAGGTGGAAAGGAGATCTAGATCTGATTATAGAAGTAGTTATTTGAGAGATGTAGCATTATTTGCTTTAAAGATGGCCAGGGTCCATGGAATTAATATGAGTCCTCTAGAAACTGGGCTTGGCAAGGAAACATTCTCCAAAGGACCTCTAGAAAGAGATGCAGCCCTGCTGGCAAATATAACCAGACTACATTTCTGACCTACTGGAATATAAAAATGTGGTCATTCTTTTAGAGGTGAGGTGTGCTTCCTTCAGCCATCTATTTTTTTTTATGCATTTCAGTCTAGACCCTTGCTTGAAAGCTATGTTTTAATGACTTCTTTTTCTTTTCATGTTCTTATTGGGGTCTATGTCTGGAGATAACCTAGAATACACCACTTTATTTGATTTTGGCCAACAGTGTACCACTCATTGTTCATAGTTTAGACTAATGTTATGGCCTCACTCAACCTTACACATACTTTGTATTGGCTAGTATAGTCTAATCTAGCTTTAAATTCATGTCAGCCTCTCAATAGGGTAAAATGTTAACTGACCTCTAGGACAAGTGTATATTGATCATTTCACTCAGTGATGTTCTCTTTTCCAGGATGCACCATGATGAAACGTCAGAGACCTACCAGCAGTAGTGAGAGTTCAGATGAGTGTAAGTAGAACTAGCTACTAACTTGTGTATCTTTGCCTCTTGAGGATCTCTTCTTTGACTTGAGAATAAACTGTTTCATACTGAGAAAGAAAGGTCAAGATCCATTTTTATTCATTTAACATTAGAAATGTATGAATTAAGTAGAATTGGTTTTATGTGTCATATAACACTGTAAATTTAATTATAACAAAGCTATGTCTACCAAAGTATTAATAGAACTCCTCTAGAATGTAAGAAAAAAGTATTGAGAATATAAACTGTAGATCCTGATTTCTACTATAACTATGGTGCTAAATGTTTGGTTGTGGATCAATTATCAATTTGTTTAAAGCCTTAACAATATCCTTTAGGGAAGTGCTGAACGAGTATGTATTCCACATTCTTAGTTTTTCTATCATGGTGTTTTTTTTGGGGGGTGGTTGGTGGTTGGTTTGTTTTGTTGGTAGATCTTTTTCTCCAGGCAGAACATGAATTGGGTTATTCCGAAGTATTAGGTATGATTACACCAAGTTGAATCTTACAACTATGATTAAAGCTTTTATAGTCTGGGTCTTTTCTAGTAAGTGTTAAACTCCATCAAGACTCTCTCTTGCGTACAATTGAATACTTTCTTCAATACTTTGAGATCTCTGTAATCTCCTGTCTTTCCTATATCTAGTTAGTTGGCATTTAGTTAAAGTCGTGGGTAATATGTTTCAGTATTTTTTCTAATTATCTTTTGCAGGTCCTTCCACTTCCTTTACTTCTCACCCAATGTATAGGAAAAAGTCAAAAAATCCTAAGGAACATAAGAAGTCTGCAGAGGTGAGATTAGATATTCACTTTTACACTAAAAAAACTAGTATCTACTTCTGCCAACATACTTACAATACCCAGAATTTGAAAATGTGCAAAGTAAAATATATATGAATGGATAGATTGGTTCATTTTCTGATGATTGTGCTTATTTTCCAAGAAATATTTCATTTCTTTTCTCCTTTATGAGAATGGTAATTTTTACATTGATTTCATTTGAGGAGTAAGTTCCCAGTTTTACAGTGGTCATCTCCTAGCCAGGAAACCAGAGAGAGCTAGACTTGGAGATCTGTAAAGGATCCCAAGCTCTTGTAGCCTAGTGGAGTTACATTAGAGGGTGGGAGATAGTATAAGAAAGGTAAAGAGGTTGTGGGTAGAGAGGGAAGGACTGAGTTCTGACAGCTTTTGAAACATTTATAGCCCAGAAAAAAGTTCACTTCTCTGATGCTGGTTATCTGCCCCAAGAGCATCAAACTATTAGAATTGTATTTGCATTTAACAGATCATTCAGACTTTCCTCAGTGGAAATTAAATTATGAGAAATTGACCTTCATTTTCACTAAGAGTAAACTTCCTTGACTAGAAATGAAAAAGAGAATGCATTCTTTACTGTTTCTGCATTGCAAATAATCACAAGATTAATGGCTTAAAACACCTTTTGGCCTCCTCAGGCACTGGGCACACTGTAGCACAAATTCTTGTAACGTGAATGTTTCTTGGCCCATCTTAGTCCCGCTGCCCTTCTCAGCCCCAAAGAAGCACACAGACACTATATTAATTATAATACCGTTGGCCATTGGCTTGGGTTTCTTACCGGCTAGCTCTGTCTTAATTATTAACCCATAACTACTAATCCATGTATTTCCACGTGGTCTTGGCTTACTGGGGAATGCTAGACCTGCAGTTCCTTTGCCTGCTACATGTTGACTGTTAAGCATTTCTGCAGAGAAGAGAGCGATTTCCTGTTTGTCCCCTGCTTATATCCTGATTCTGTCCAGCTACGTCATTTCCTGCCTGTCTGTACAGACCTCCAGACCTCTATGGTTAGCTAGTGGCAGTTTCTGCGAAGCTACATCACTTCCTGGCATCATATGACGACTCTGCCTACACTTCCCAGAATCCTCCTTGTCTCCTAGTCCTACCTATCAACTTGCCTGTCCAATCAGTGTTTTATTCATCAACCAATAAGACAAACATATACACAGAAGGAAGCTACATCACTTCCTGGCATCATATGACGACTCTGCCTACACTTCCCAGAATCCTCCTTGTCTCCTAGTCCTACCTATCAACTTGCCTGTCCAATCAGTGTTTTATTCATCAACCAATAAGACAAACATATACACAGAAGAACATTAATAACTCAGAGTCAGGTATCAGGGGGTGAAAGCTGAAGAATCAGAGAAGCAAAGCAGCCAGCCACTAGAGAGTTCTTACCTCTACCAGTGGTCAGACCAAAGGGGTGTCCTGTCCTCAGACTGCTGCCTCAGACTTCCATGAGTTCCTGTCTCCTCTAGTCTTACATTCCTCTCTCCACCCAACCATATCACTTTCTCTCTCTCCCTTCTTAGTGCTGGGATTAAAGGCGTGTCACTCCAAGTTCTGGGATAACCTTTGTGTGAGCTGTTTCTCTTTCAGACTGGATCAATTTTAGCCCAGGTTGGCCTTGAACTAACAGATCCTCCACCACTGCCTGGCCTCTATGGCTAACTAATGTGGCTAGCTTTGTACTCTGATCTTCAGGAAAGCTTTATTTGTTAGATCATAAACAAAATATCAACACAGCACACATGTACTACACATACATATATGCAGAGAAAGCATTCATACACATATAATAAGAATAAATCTTTAAAATAATTTAATACTATTGAGTATTCAATGGAATTTCCTCTACTCAGGGTTTGTCTGGTATTTGTTTTATTACTAGACTTACTGGACTTATTATTAGACTATAATTAAGGTTTGGGAGAATGATATAACAGGATGAAGAGCCCTTCTTGTCACATTATATCAAAGATTATCATTTGATTAACATGAGGTTTCTCCGGTATAACATTACTTTTTTCTTTCTTTTTGTTCTTTTCTCTAGTACTGGTGGCATACTAAAATACAAGGATGTTAGGCAAGGATTCACTTCCTAAAGGAAAGAGTTAACAAATATATTTAATAATATTATGTAAAAAATTTATGTCTTCTCCCTGACTTAAAAAAATATAGGGCTGATAAGATGGCTTCAGTAGGTAAAGGCACTTGGTGCCAAGCCTAAAAATCTACTTCTCTCTCCAAAACCCACATGGTAGAAGGAGAGAACCAATTCTGGCAAGTTGTCTTCTGACCCTAACCCTTGAGGTGTGGCACATCCACATACATCCACGTGTACTGAATAAATAAATGAAAACTAAGTTAATTACATACATTTTAAAATACGGGGTTATATATATTTACTTTATATTTTAGGATTTTCAAAAGAATATTGGGTATTGAACCTGTGCCTTGTACATGCTAGGCAAGTACTGTATTATTGAGCTACATCCCCACCCTACTTTATATTTTAGGTTGTAATCCTACATATCTTTTTTAGTTTTTTATTTACAACCCAGCTGCTTTTTCCCCTCCTCCCTCTTCTCCCAGTCCCCCCACACATCACCTCTGTGTCCACATCCCCTCTATATCCACACATCCACTCTTCCTCCATTTCTATTCAGAGAAGGACAGACCTCCCATAGATATCAACCTAACATGGCATGTCAACTTGAAGGCTGGACAAAGCAGCTCAGAATGAAAATAGGGGTCCCAAAAGCCAGAAAAGAGTTGGAGGCAGCCCCTGCTCCCACTATTAGGAATCCCACAAGAAGGCCACACTACACAACTGTAACATATATGCAGAGGGCCTAGCTCAATCCCATGTAGACTCCCTGGTTGTTGGTTCAGTCTCTGTGAGCCACTCTGAGCCCAAGTTAGTGATTATGTGGATTTTCTTGTGTCCTTGACCCCTCTGGCTCCTACAATCCTTCCTCTCCCTCTACTGAAGGATTCCTCAAGGTCCAGCTATGGATCTCTGCATCTATTTACATCAGTTGCTGGATGAAGGCCCTCTGGTGACAGTTGGGGTAGGCACCAATCTATGAGTATAGCAGGATATAATTAAGAATCATTTCATTGACTTTGTTTTCGACCAGTCATGTTTGGTTCTATCCTAGGTCTCTGGGCTATACAGCCTCTGGGTCCTGGCCCTCCAGGCAGAGTCTTTTTCATGGGTCTCAAGCTGGACCAGTCATTGCTTGGCCACTCCCACAATTTCTGTGCCACCTTTACTCCAGCACATCTTCTAGACAGGATAAATTATATGTTGGAGGTTATGTGGCTGGGTTGGTGTCCCAATCCCTCTACTGGAAGTCTTGCGTGGTTACAGGAGATGACTGGTTTAAGCTCCATATCCCTCATTGCTAAGAGTCTTTGCTAAGATCACCTTCATAGATTCTTGGAAATTTCCATTGCACTATGTTTCTAACTCATCCCTGGGATGTCCCCTAATTCCAATTGTCCCTCCCAATATGATCTCCCTCCATCTTCCTTCCACCTGATCTCTCCTGTTCTTGCTCCACCACACCTTCTTCTCTACCTGTGATGTCTGCTCTATTTCCCCTTCCCAGGAAGATTTGTATGTCCCCCTTTGAGCTCTCCTTGTTACATAGCTTCTCTGAGGCTGTGGATTGTAGCCTGGTTATCCTTTATTTACAGCTAATATTCACTTATGAGTGAATACATACCATGTTTGTCTTTCTGGGTCTGGGTTATCTTGCTCGGGATGATTTTTTTCTAGTTCTGTCCATTTCCTGCAAATTTCATAATGCAATTGTTTTTAACAGCTGAGTAACACTCCATTGTGTAAATGTACCACAATTTGTTTCTCCATTCTCCTTTTCTTTTCTTGTATTTTTTTTTTTTGGTTGTTGTTTTTCGAGACAGGATTTCTCTGTGAAGGTTTGTAGACCGGGTTGGTCTGGAACTCACAAAGATCCACCTGCCTCTGCCTCCCAAGTGCTGCCAAGTGCTGGGATTAAAGGCGTGGGCCACTACCGCCTGGCTTGTTTCTCCATTTTTCAGTTGAGGGACATGTAGTTGTTTCTAGTTTCTGGCTATTGCCAATAAAACTTCTGTGAACATAGTTAAGTAAGTGCCCTTGTGGTATAATTGAGCATCCTTTGGATCTTGAGTTAGATCGATTCCCATTTTTCTGAGAAACCACCATGTTGATTTTCAAAGTAGCTGAACAGGTTTACATTCCCACCAGCAATGGAGGAGTGTTCCCCTTGCTCCGCATTCTCACCAACATGAGTTCTCACTTGTGTTTTTAATCTTAGCCATTCTGACAGGTGTAAGATGGAATTTCAGAGTTGTTTTGATTTGCATTTCCCTGATGGCTAAGATGTTGAACATTTCTTGAAGTGTATCTCAGTCATTTGAGATTTCTCTGTTTAGATCTCTGCCCCATTTTTAATTGGATTATTTGGTTTGCTGATATCTGGTTCCTTGCATTCTTTGTATACTTTGGAAATTAGCCCTCTGTCTGATGTGGGGTTACCATATTGCCCAATTGATGGTGTCCTTTGCCTTACCAAAGCTTTTCAGTTTCTTCAGGTCCCATGTATTTTCGATCTTAATACCTGCACTATTGGTGTTCTGTTCAGGAAGTTGTCTCCTGTGCTAGTGCATTTCAGGCTATTCCTGCCTTCTCTTCTCTCAGATTCAGTGTATCTGGTTTTATGTTGAGCTCTTTGGTCCACTTGGAGTTGAGTTTTGTGCAGAATGATAAATATGGACATCCAGTTAGACCAGCACCATTTGTTGAAGATACTTTCTATTTTCCAATGTATAAATTTGTCGTCTTTGTCAAAAATCAGTTGTCCATAGGTATGTGGATTTACATCTGGATCTTTGATTCAGTTCCATTGATCTGATCTACCTGTCTGTTTTTATGTAGTACCATGCAGTGTTTGTTACTA